AAGTCCATTGTAAAAGAAGAGGATTATGATAATGGTAGGAGATCAGGAGATAAAGGGTTTATGTTCCCCAAGCACTGAAGTCTTCTGGCTTATTGTACATTTTTAATTCCACAGTTCAGTGCAACGGACTCAATCCTTCTCCAAATTACTGTGTCATATACTGTCGTTGCTACGATTCTTGTCCGTAGGTTTTGTTTGTATCCCAGATCATGTCTCTGTTAAGAGATTATTTTTCATTCGAAGAAGGGATGGTAGGTTGTTTCTTCCTCCTCAATGCATAATCTACAAATGGAATTATCATTAAATATGCCCATGTTATATAGATGTTTTCTCAGATGCCATTGACAGGTAGAAATCACACCTCTGAATTTAGCCTAAGCTAACTGCATCAGTGAATTTGCCACAATGGGTAAGGGAGGGTTTTAACATAAGCTTAATGTGTCTAGCAACTCTAGAGTTTATCCACTTCTCCTTTGATCGTTTTTGGATCATTCTGTAATGGAAATTTTTTTATTGTTTTTGTTCTCCCAATAATATGTTCCGGGTCTACATATGTCGTGCAGATCCTCCTCTAACCATTGCGTCTGCTTTATCCTTAACCAAAATTCTTTTCTGCCCTTGTAACCCAGGTATGATTAAGTTGTTAGGTTCACAAGGTCTTAGAGGTTTTTGGCTGTATTAACTAATTTGTATATAATTTTTGATGCTATTGCTTTAAAAACCGCTTGGCTATCCATAAGAAATTTTTATCTTTTCTTTTACATTTTGTAAGGCATAAACGTTGATAGCATGTATTTGAAATTGAAAGACGAATATGAACATCCCTAAAGAGTTTGCTCATGTTTTGGGCTTTTAAAACGATCAGGTTTCTTCATATGTTTTGGGGCCATCTGTATAACTTATCATTATATCTGTTAGCATATCATATATTTTCCTGAATTCTTCTTCTGATTTGAAGCCTATGTAGTGTTGAGTCTTTACGATGTATTAATGAGCATCCGGGAACATTTGGTAAATCTAAATTTCTAAGAAGGGGTTTCTGATTATTATTGTGCCCAAGTGTTTAATTCCCACCCGGTTTGATGGTTCTGGAGCCTTGGAGGAATGAGTTTTTCCTTCCTGTTCTTTTTATACATATTAGAGGTAAGTTTAGCTGAGTTTCTAATCCAATTGAGAGGGTGGTTTTCGTTCCCCCTGTGATGCAGAGGTTTGGGAGTCTTTCTATACTGCTTAATTTTTGGGTTGCGTGTTTTCTTATGTGCGTTATAATTTGAAGAGACAACTGACCAGGAGCACAATACAACAACGTCATCTGCAAAGGCTAGATTAATTTTTACATTATTTATCTTAATTCCTCCTTCCACAAATTCCTAAATATCATTTATATATAATGAAAACAACATTGGGTTCAACAAGAAACATTTTACATTCATTGTGCTCTCAAAGTTTTTTGTTGACACCACATATATGGTTTTTTATAATACATTTATAAATTTTTGTTAAGATAATTTAAAATATAAGGCATACTTGTATAATTCGGTCAAAGGCTGTTCAGAAATCAAAGACAATGCGTCAAGTTTTTGCCGATTGAAGCTGAGTCGGTTTTGAATTTCATACATTAATGTATAAATGTTATTGCGGAATACAATGTTCTGTTCAAAATGGTAGGAAGTAACTTGATTATAGAAGGTCACATACATTTTTTTATAGTAACAAGGTTTAGTTTCTGTTGAAATCTTGCACGTTTCGTCGGGTTGAATTGGTACGTGCCGAGGTGCAGGAGATTAATCGTTATGCCCTTTTCTACGTCCGTGAGGTGGTGAAATTCTCTAAAACGGCACTTCTCACCCTTCACATCACACTGATAAACACCACCGCACCACATGAAATTGGAGTTGTTCCCAGGGGTTAAAAAAAATTCCAGCGTAATATTATTCATGTAGTAAGAGACAAAGTCGCCAGACTAGTATCCGAACAAAAAGAATTATACTTCTTGAAATTTGGTTGGAGTTTTTCGCTACTTTTCTTTTATTTTTTTACTGGTATTTGTTTCATTTGTTAAAATTGTCCCTAAAAAAGGTTGGATCAATGCCATTTTAATTATTTAATAAGTAATTCTCACCAAAGTACCCTGTGGAATATCGAGCACGCTGGGGTATTGCAAATGAATGTGTGATTTTAATTTATTAGCGCGAATGGAGTGGCCTATCTCCAATAACCCCAAGGAATATCGAGCACTCTGGGGTAGTGTGAATGCTATTCAGACAATCATGTTTTTCTCTTGTTTCAGTGTATTTGTGTTACTATACCCACAATTGACTATGTTCTAAGGTACAGAAAGGTTAGCAATATGATAAAGAAAAATATAACAGAACAAGATAACATGCGTTTTATAACATCGGTAAAACATCAAACTTCATGTTTATAAATATAAATATAAACATAAATATATGTAAACATGAAGTTTACCAATATTATATATTTGCATGTTGCCTTGTTATACTCGTATTATTAATTTATTATTATTATTGAAAATGGCAAAAAGAGGGAAAACTCTAAAGGTTGTAGGTTGAGTTTGAGAGTTGGTGTCCGACAGGATCGAAGTCACGATAGTTCAAGTGGTCGAGCAGCGGCGTATTAAGCCGAAGGTCGTTGGTTCGAATCCCGCTCGTGACACTGATATTATAAATAAAATGTTTATAAATAAAACATTAAGTTTTGGTTATTTTTTCAGTGGATCCTCGATTTTCTGGTACTGTAGGTAAAAATGACTAATTGTGAGTTTTAGTCATTATTTTATAAAAATGCGTGGAGATTAGTGACCGTTAATCGATAATTATTCAGAAATCGTGAGATGCGGTCTGGTGTGATGCAGGTTTCAGAAAAATCTTTTCTTTATCATGCCAACGTTTCGATCTTTATTGAGATCATCTTCAGGGCTCAAAGTGTTTGTCTTCGGTGTAATTGTGCCATTCTTGCGTGTCGTGTTGAGAGTTTATAAAAATTAAAAGAATTCCTTATATTATACTCACGATAGCTCAAGTGGTAGACTAGCGGCGTATTTAGCCGAAGGTCGTAGGTTCGAATCCTGCACGAGACACTGACTTTTTTATTTCAACTACACCTTACATAGAAAGAATAATTAATTGTAAAAGTTAATTGGTAAATTGACTACTAAAATGTACTTGGATTAATAATTAGGTAAGTAGAAAGTTGGTTTCGTACAATCTCTGAGAAATGGATAGATCGTCCTTTTTTTAGTATTTCTACAATTTCTCTTTCTTTGCTGTGTTTTTTTCTATGGGTTTGCAAACATTTCTCTGTGTGTTTTAAGCGGTCGTTAGGTTTAGGGAGTATATATATAAATATGATTTACTCATCATGTCCCTAAGATTGTGGTTGTTTTCAACTAAGCAATTGCCCAGCTTTGTTTTACATGTTGCTGCAATCTCTCGAGGTTTGGGACTTTATAATCTTCCAGTTGGTAAAAGTTTCTAGGTTAAAACTTTTACCGACTCACACTCAAGGCACTTTAGTGGCCTAAATGTGAATAATGGCATTCGAGATTCCAGACTTAATTGTATTATTTTCGTGTGATTCTTTTCGTGGTTAAACTCGTGGGAAGAATTTTAATACCCTGAAGAATAAGGATAAAATTTAAATCTCTTCAAAAGTTAAGAAGTCTTACGTTGTCGTTAATAATTGTATTTTTAGTATTTTAAAGTGCTACCATTTTTTCATCACGAATAATTTTGATCTTCCTATGGTCTGGATAAAAAAACTCAATTATTGCTGTCATGCTTTCGACCTACTTTAAGATCATCATTATGCTAAAAAATATTAAATATGTGATGATTGACACGATTAAGTTTTTAATAGATGGTTTCATTTCCTTGAAGACCGACTCAGTCCCAACATTGCCAATGACTGTCCTAGTAGTATAGGCATAGTAAGACAGACAAACAAGTTCGACGGAAGGTAATTTCAGGTAAACTTGGTTGTCGCCTCGGCCAAGTTAGGTCCCTCCGGATTTTGTTTCAACGTTGTAATTTAAAGAGGTTTTGTTTTGTCCGAGAATTGGCTCCTTTCCCGTTTTCTTCGGAGTCTCGAGTTACCCGGTGAATTTCTTATCCAGCAAGCGATCCATTTTCGGCCCGTACACTTTTATTAACAAACCGTGTTAGATCACTATCAGAATTGAAGGTTTTATTGAAAAATTATCTGCAAGATTGGCTTATGAAAAAGCTGTTAAAAAAACAATTTTACAGCACCAGGTGTTACATGACTAATGGACCGGTTGATCGAATCTCATGTCCATCTTTATACATTTTCCATTAAAAAAATTTATTAAAATATAATACAAGATATTAAAATCTTTAACATTTCATTACGCATGCATATTTCTTATCAAAAAGTTTTTTTTTTAATTTGTTCCACTGTTTACAAAACTTTAAAGTGGTGGCCAAATCAATAAATTTATCCATATACTTATTTCAGTGAAATATACTTTTTATCTAAGGTCTTGATTGATATGAAAAACTTAGTGCCACGAGCCGGATTCGAACCTTCGACCTTCTGGTCAATACGCTGTTGAACCACTTGAGCTATCGTGACTTGGATCCCCTCAGAGACTCTTCATCTCAATGTTAGAACAGCGGCGTATTGAGCCGAAAGTCGTGAGGTTCGAATCCTACTAGTGATACTAATTTTTCATCTCAACCAAGAACCTTAGTTAAAAAGAATATTAACTGGAATAATTAATATAGTCTCTTATGACCACTAAGCAAATTTAATTAATGCTGTATTAATTAATAGATTATTTTCATTAGTTCTTTTAATTAATGTATTAATATTAATTTAATAATTTTATCTCAACTAAAAACCTTAATTAAGTGAAAGATATTAATTGGTCACGAAAACTAGTGGATTTTCATTAATATTTTAATTAATAGAAAAATTTGTTGGATTCTATGTTTTAACATCAATTTTTTTAATTTCAGGTTGAAAAATCAACATACTAGTAATAAGGTAAGATAATTTAATAATTTTTTTGTTTTCACACAACTCACAACGAGCCGATTTTAATGATACTTTTTATAATTTTTTTTATTTTTATGTTCATTCTAGTTTGAAAATCATTAGATCCGTATCTGAGTATCTGATAATGCACAATGTATAGGAGGCAAAATAATTTTTTTTTAAGCTCCTTATTTTAATTGTTGTAGTGTAAGTTGTTGTAAAATACGGTACTATAGCTATCGTAGATATCGAAATACAGAATTTCTGACCGAGCTGTGCACGTAGCAAATCAGGTTGGAATACTTGTCACCCAAAAAATGTAGGTATTCGTTTTCTCTGAAAAATATCTGAATGCTAAATTTTGAGAAAATCAAAACATGTCTTTTTTATTTTGTCGTTTATTTCAAACTGTATGTTTTTGAATCATTCTATTAATTACAACATATGTATTTTAATGTAAACCAAATTAAACAAGATCAGAAATTTGTGAGTTTTAATAAAAATTATTTAGATATGATGTTTTGAAAGAAAATGCATTATAATAGCAGAAAAACCTTTAATTAAAGATTAAAATTTCGTATTACCATCTTGGCTTTGCTTAGGGCTTTAGGTCTCCTGGCAAATAAGCGATCAGATTTCGTCTTGTGACACAGAATGCAATTTTTTAACGAGAACTTTGTGAGGATCGATTGTTGGAGACGGCTAACAATGCCTAGCCGTGTTTTTATCATGTCCCATAATTAATCTATAGATTTCATAGAGAATGCTGGCCAATTCATTCTGGTAATTTCAACAACGTAAGCAATGAGTGACAACTCGAACTACATGCTAACACGAATTTGTCTCCAATAAACGGAGCGAATGGGACCACAGCTTCGAGAAGTTTCCAAAGGTTCCATGTACCTTAATGTACTGAAAGATTCATTTTTGTGATAATCAGTTGTTGATGTCACCCACTATCATAATTGTCTTTGTAAAAGCTGTGACGAACGCATAGCACATGAGCAAAGCGTCTTCTACACAAATCAAACCGGCACTCATCTGTGAAGAGAACAGCCCCACGTTGTTCAACTGAACAAAAGAGAAGCTGATTTGAGAATAGTCGCCTATCTACTCAAAGCCTCTCCAAAGTAGAAAACCTGATGCGGGGTATGACTAGGCTATTCTCACGAAGCTTTTTGATGTCTGGTTTAGAGCGAGTCCTTACATTTCATTACGCAAGGTTTGGAGTTGACTACCTATCAAGCAAGCCGTTAAATGACGGTTCTGTGCAGTACGACCAACAAAATGGTCGTCTCTAGACGTGGTACATCGCGATTGACCACCACCTCGCTCCGGACTTCCGGTGGCCTTAAACCGCCTGAAAAGGTGAATGATAGAGTGCGGCATAATCAGGACAAGAAACGATGAAATTGAACTGATTTTTCTTTATTTTAAAAGGATAAATGTAAGCAATTTCTTAATATTGTGTTTACGTTTTAAGTCAACTTTTAATCTTTATACCTGTGGCGTCGGTGGCCGCAACGGTTTAGGCGTTGACTAGGCGCTCGGCACTGTACGGTAAAGGTCCCGTGTTCGAATCCAGCGGCCATGCATTCGAACACGACATACTTACAAATGGGCTCTTTTTGACTTGATGGTTTTCTGTTAGGTACTCGGGTAGTTTAATCAGCTAAGATAGGCAAACAAGGATGATCGGAAAGGATCAAACTACGGGTACTTTACCCCGCATACTGGTACATAAGGACAACTCACTACCAATAGCCATATCTAAATCACTCCATTTACTTTATGCTCATCAAATCTACAACGCTTTTTTATACTGCTTAAAATAGTTTTTTTTTTTAAAAACACCGGCACCCCGAGGGTTCAAATAACTTCGTAGTTGAAATACCCTCGTCAAAAAAGAAAAATCTAGCATCACAACCACTAACTTGTCTTCGATCGAGACTTTATAACCTTCAGATCATGCTTTAAAAAAACTTAATAATAAATGAAACCAATTAACTCACTCGGCAATTGGCTCTGGGGGAAAAATCGTTATACCTAGTTATTATGGAAAATAAACAAATATAATACAAATGTCCGATTTTTGTCTTTCTTTGTATGAAATAGGCCAGCCATTTTTTAAAGAAAATTTCAAAACTGGGGTTCAGAACTAATACAACGGTATAAACATCGCTTCCGTACATAAATCAAAGCCAAATAATAATAATAATAATAATAATAATAATAATAATAATAATAATAATAATAATAATACTACACTTTGATCTTAGCCAAAAGGCCGAGAAGCGATATATATATATAATACATGGATTTAGGGTGTTTTTGAGGATTTCCTCCATATTTTTCTCATTTATAATGCCATAAAAACTTAGGTTGTTGATAAAGGCTATAAAAGCAAAGTATTCTTGTTTTATCGACCTAGTATCATCAAAAACAGTTTCATTGAATATATGAAAACAGCATATGAAATATAAATTAAATGATTAAATACAATATGCTAAAGATAGAATAATGCGTATCACGCCTTCTATTGTTCTCAAAGTCATATTACCTGCAAAACTGTCATAAACGAATAAATCAGTTTTACCCGTTAATGACTCATTTATTGTACCATACAACCTGTATAATTTAAACAGGGTATTTATCCTAATATTGCGGCGGCTTCGCCGTGTATGCACACACAAAACATATGTAGGGTTGTTGAATAATAAATCTATTTTACTTAAATAAGCATTAATACATTAAATATAGTATAAACAAAATAAAAAGGAAGTCTTACTTATTGAAGCATTTGGCCGTTTCCGATCATTTTTCATTATGCTGCACTGAAGACGGCGAATAGCTATTGTAACTCATCGAAAAATCCTCGACGTTTGCTCTCTAGTAAGTAAGACTATTTGGAGATGGTGAGATGCGGTCTGGTGTGACGTAGGTTTTATAAAAACATTTTCTTTATCGTGCCAACGTTTCGATATTTATTGAGATCATCTTCAGGGCCAGGGATTTATAAATATTGTTTAAATTTTACAAATACATGTAGGATTTGAAAAAAGTGAATTTATACAATGCTGGAAATTTTAGATTCAATGAATGTAATATTCTCAAAGGGTTTGTTTTTGTTTTTGAAAGCTATTTTAAAGTTATCAGAAGATAACTATAAAACAACTCGCACGCTTTTTTTACAAAATTAAAGATCCCACACCGGTAACAAATAAATCTGACGTAATTTACAAAATAAATGGTTTAAATTGTCCGGCAACTTACAACGGTATCTGATTGCAAAAACTCAAACAAAATCCTACTGCACTGGCTACCCACCATTTTAAACACCAACAAAATTTCGACCTCAACAATCCAAAAATATTACATACAGAACAAAACAAACATAAACGTAATTTCTTAGAAATGTTTCGACTTCAAAAATCCAAAAATATTACATACAGAACAAAACAAACATAAACGTAACTTTTTAGAAATGATTGTTCGAAGATAGTTAGATGGGGTCTGGTATGACGTAGGTTTTAGAAAAAAATTTATTTATCGTGCCAACGTTTCGATCTTTATTGAGATCATCTTCAGGGCCTGGGATTTATAAATATTGTTTAAGTTTTACAAATACATGTATGATGTTAAAAAATGAATTTATACAATGCTAGAAAGTTTAGATTAAAAAATGAATTTATACAATGCTAGAAAACTTTAAATTAAAAAAATGAATTTATACAATGCTCAAAAGTTTTTTAGATTCTATCCAAATGTCTTTCTATCTCGACTTCCTTCCCCACATTAAGAACATTCAGACACAAAACATCAATATCTCACTGGCTCTCTCAACACGACACTCAGTAATGACACATCTACAGAGAAAACAAACACTTTGAGAGAATACAAATACATTGATTGAATCTAAAATTTCTAGCATTGTATGAATTCATTTTTTTCCCATCCTACGTGTAAACAATGTTTTAAACCCAGGCCCTGATGATGGTCTCAATAAAGATCGAAACGTCGGCACGATAAAGAAAATGTTTTTTCTAAAACCTACCCCAGACCGCTTCTCACGATCTCGAAATAATCATTAATCAACGGTCACTAAACACGACGCATTTCTAATTTGTAAGATTAAAGTTACTTCCGATCGTTCTCGTGAGGGAAATAGAGTTACAAAGATAATTTAATTAATAATTAAGAATACTTCAACATAATTAAAAAACAATTAATTAAGGTTTTTAGTTGAGATAAAAAAGTCAATGGCACGAGCGTGATTCGAACCCACGAGCCTGATACGCCGCTGCTGAACCACTTGAGATATCGTGACCTCGATCCACTCAGACAACTTCCCATCTCAACCGCACCTTTTGAATTTTCCCTCCTTTTTGCCATTTTTCGAATCCCGTTCGTGCTTCGACTTTTTTATCTCAACTAAAAAACTTAATTAATTGTAATATATTAATTGGTCAAGCGGACCACGAAATTAGTAAATATAATTAAAAAAGAGGAAAAAAATTAAAAATGAAGACGGTGAACTAAACGGTTAAAAGGTTTAGAAATTTTACTTTAAAACAATAAATTACATTGTTCACCTAGGCCATAGATGGTCAAGGATATCACGACTAAGGCTCAAATTATATAAGACTTGGCGTCCTAAACAGTTACAAACTATTAGAAAAATTGTCGTATTTTTTGATAGCTTACTAATACCTAACTCACCCAGTAGTGAGCCTCCTAATGAACAAATAATCTCTCTTTAATTCTATCCGTAGGCATCGTCGTTTCAGTCGAAGGGACGGATTATCTGGTATGATAGTTGAACAGAGCTGGCGGATCATTGTGATGTGTGGAAAGGGATTAATGTTTTTTTTTGTAATTGTCTTCCGTTGGAACTGGAACAAAGAGAATGTTAATGTCTCTGTGCAGGGTGAGATTCGATACACCGAAAAGAGGGTTAACTATTTTTCTTTTGTTTTACACTTTTGTTTATACCTTAAATAGTTTGTTAA